CGCTTGTGTGTGTGTGTGGCATGGCACGGGAAATGACGCCAGCGCTGCAGCGGGAGCACGAGTCGAAACGAGCGGAAGCGCGGAAATAAGGCCAGCGCTGCAGCGGGAGCACGATTCGGAACGAGCGGAAGCACGGAAATGAGGCCAGCGCTGCAGCGCGAGCACGATTCGGAACGAGCGGGGCCCGAAAATGAGGCCGGCGCCTCGGCGAGAGCAACATTAAAAAACAAAAAACACAAGCGAACAAAAACACTACGCGGGGGGGGTCGGATATCTTCGTCACGCCATCAGGGGAAGTGGGAGAGTATTTTCATATTGTGTAATTGTGGAAGAGGGGGCTGGCACAGGGGGAGAGAGGGAGGGGGGAGGAGGAGGGGGAGAGGGGGGGGGCAAGCTAGGTGCGCTCGCGTCATATCTGACGTCCTACCCCTCCCTCCCATCCCTTACCATGGCGCTGATTTTCTCTATCCGCGGACGCGTGTCGTAGCGGACCTGTGGCTCCGCGCGCGCGTGCGTAGTGGGTGGTGGTGCACGTGCGTGCGTGCGTGTGCGTGTGCGTGGTTGTCGTGGTGGTGGTGGTGGTGGTGGTGGTGGTGGTGGTGGTGGTGGTGGTGGTGGTGGTGGTGTGTGGTGGTGGTGGTGGGGTGGTGGTGTGGTGCATGGTGGTGGTGTGGTGGTGGTGGTGGTGGTGGTGGTGGTGCTGTGGTGGTGGTGGTGGTGGTGGTGGTGGTGGTGGTGGTGGTGGTGTGGGTGGTGGTGGTGGTGGTGGTGGTTGTGGTGGTGGTGGTGGTGGTGGTGGTGGTGGTGGTGGTGGTGGTGGTGCTGGTGGTGGTGGTGGTGGTGGTGGTGGTGGTGGTGGTGGTGGTGGCGGTGCGGCGCGGTGGTGGCGGGCGGATGGGCGCGCGAGAAAAAGGCCCGCGCTGGGGCGAGAACGCCATCCTGAACGACGGAGGCCAAGCACCGATCCGAAAATGAGGCCAACGTTGCAGCGGGAACACGATTCGGAACGATTCGGGAGCAGAAATGAGGCCAGCGCCCCAACGAGAGCAGCATTTTGGGAAAAAATGACGCCGGCGCCTCAGCGAGAGTCCCCCGAGCCCTGGATGCGTCTTAAAGAAGAAGCGCGCTTCTTTAAAACGGAGCGCGCGTCTTTATGAACGGGACACGCATCGTTTAAAATTTGCTTGCGTCATTATAAAGCAGCACGCGTCATCATAGGCAGCTTTGTTTGAAAAAAGACGTGCAGGGCGTCTTTTTTGTTTGGCCCCAATTGAAACGTGATAACTCCGTCCGCGTTCTAAGATATAACTACATGGAACCCTGAACCCTACCGCGCCAAGGGCATGTAAGTAGGGAACAGGAGTGTACCGAGGGGCGCGCGCCCCTCGGGGCACTCCTGTTCCCTACTTGCAATCCTCTTCCACGCCAGCACCATCATTATGTTCGTTCCTCCTCGGCCTCTTACGTACATGCGGAGTTATGCGGTCATTAAATTGTAAGGACATCTCAAACGGGAGCACGACCTTTTGAAATTCATCCGTGTTTCGACAGCAGTCCGCGCTACGTTGCGAACATGTATCAGGCAAAAACCTCTCGTCAGGAGGTCCGCCGCCTCTCTGAGGGGCCAGACGGGGGACTGCCACCAGGCATTTCGAGAGAGGGGCAGGCGGGGATCTGCCGCCAGGCATCCTCCAAGAAAAAGCGAGCGTGGGGAAGGGCAGCCGAAACGCCATTCGAATAGCAGAATATCAGACGCAGCAGCTGCAAGGTTGCAAGAACGGGACGGCAGGGCGGTCAAAGGGGCGCCCTCAAGGCATATGTAAAATCAGGGGCGCCCTCGAGGCATATGTAAAATATCTCTGCGATCGCGTACTTAGTACTTCAAGTGAACCCATTTTAGCAATACCATTGGCGCGAGATGGTTCGGGTGAAGGCTCTGTGCGATTTCTTTCATGATCTGTTGAAGGTCCTCATCACTGTAAGTCCAGAAATACCTCGGGTTCAGATGGGTCTGTTTTTCGCACAAATGAACGCATGTGTGAAACTTAGGTGTCATTTTCCAGGCTCGGATGTTCCGCCCCAGAGCTTCCGAAGATAGTTGTCCATATATCTGAACAAACGTGGGCCCCAACATTGATAATTCTCGCTTCACATCGTTAGGCAAGTAGCGATCGTTCGAGTACAGCAGATGGTAGAATCTCGTAAGCAGCTGACACGATGCCAATCTCAACTTATCATGGCGTGTGTTCGTGTTGTGCTGGGTGGCCAAGTGAAGCGCGTACGGCACTAGGCAGCGGGCGGCGGCTGCCTTGGCCTGTGGAGGATGGCAGTGGGGGCGCAAGAGCAGATGAGGAGGAAGAGGAGGACGATCGATGAAGAGGGGGTGAGGAGCAGGGAGGATGAAGAGGAGGAAGAACGATGAAGAACATGGGAGGATGACGAGGAGGAAGAACGACGAATACGAGTAGGATGACACCCGAATCAGGCCTTCAACTTCGGCCAATCCTTCCCAGTTTTTAGCCTTGCGCATGAGGGGGCACCTTGAACCTTATGCGGGTCAACTTGCGTGGCATACAACCTCTTCATATCTTTTACCAAGCCGTCCAATTGTGCTGATTGGGCTGCGCCCCAAACCCCAGACTGCATAATCTCAATGAATGTGTTCGCCACCAAGTGGCTGGCGATCCCCAAGTCAATCGCGTGAAGGATATCCACCATGATTCCCTCATACCGCAAAGTTGTCATGGCGAAAAACGGGCTAATTGGCTTGCCATTCCGAGCACATTGGAGAATAAACCCATTGTGATCGATTCCAGTCCCCCTCCAAGCTGCAAGATCGTCAGCGCGGGTGTAGCAGAAAGGGCCTGGTGCTAACGTGGCCGCGCACATGAAACAACAGTTCCGTTCATTCCACCTGTTGACGTACAAATAATCAGAATAGAATTCCCAATCACCTCGCATCTGAATGCACGCAAACGTGTGTCCACCGCAGAGAGTGCGTCCTGACTCGGGGTGGCGTTGATCGGAGTTGTACTTTTGATCGGGCATCCGACCATGCAGCAGTGCGTTAAAGCTCCAAGCGATGCGATTGATCAATTGCCCAAACATTTTGTTATTCAGCTCGCTCCTCCTGAAAGCGGTGATCACTTCCCTCGTTACCTCGGCGCTGCCACTCCCAACCAAGCTGCTAAACTGCAGCGTGGAGAGACCTTCTGTCTTTGTAGTTGGGGCGCCGTCTCCATGGAGCCCCAGTGGGATTGTTGACGGCTTGATATTTGAAGCATTGGCTCGAAATGATGGGGCGTCGCGCATCTTTTCCCAAAACACTGTAGTTTCACCAGGTTGGCCAGCAATCTGACCCTCAAATATGGAACCGTCACTATTTCTCAATGCCTCGAGCGCGTCAATAGGACCAATAAAAGGATGAAACAATTGATGTCCAGCATCGACGGTCAGTTCAATCCAGCTTGTTCTAGGCGCCGCTCTCGGATAGCCGACGGCATTCAATACAGCGCGGAAGGCATGCCGAGGCTGGGCAGAGTCCCCAGCGTATTCTCCGACGCCCTTCGCCCCTTGGGCGCATGCTGCCCTGGCCAACTCGAGAAACAATGGGCTGGTGATTGTGCCTTTTGCCAATTTCTGACGCAGCAAGTCGTTCAAGGGCGTTGGCTCTTCTTCGGCTGGGGCATCGGCGAGCTCAAGCCTCCGCTTGATGCCACTTCGCGGCCGCGAAGCTTCGTCCGAAACGGGCTGGGGGCTCTGGCATTGAAGGCCGAGAAGCTGGCGTATGCCAGGAGACCTGATAGCATTGCAGTCGGGCACAGGGACTGCAGGCGCTGATGCCTGCAATCGCAGGCGAATGCCTTGGTCCTTGGGCGCCATGAGAACGATTGCGCACAAAATCATAACAGGGTTCATGATATCCACGCGATCTGCAACCTTGAGTTTGAGCCAAAGCGGCTACGCACGAGGAGGATGAGGATGAGGCGGAGGGGGTGTCAGGACAGAGAAGGGACCGAATGATATAGTTAGACTGGGCTGTGGAGACGGGTGTGAAAGCCGATCCAGGATGGGGCGCAACGTATTTAGGGCAGGACTTGTAGACGCATGCAGAATGAACACGATGGAGACTGATGGCGGACGGGGGGATCTTTCGGAGAATTGTGACGCCCCTGGTGATGATGCGGACGACGGCACCGATGGCGATTTCACCCGAGCTTCATTGCGAGGATGTCTTGACCAATCTCTGGCGTGTCCGATCGCATCTTGCACGCAATCGAAAACCGGCCTCTCGCTGCTAGAACTGTTGGCGCGGCTGCTTGTCAAGATCCTAATTTCTCCACTCGTCCTGTTATGTCTTCTCTGTTTCTCGTCCTTGCTCTCCTCCCTCATCCCTCTTATGCTTCATCATCTTGCTCCCTCTTGCTTCTTATTCGCTTATCCCTCATGGTTTTGAGTGCCGCTCCCGCCATCCCCCCCCCCCATCCGTCCCTTCCTCCTCACTCCTCCCCCCCTCTCCTCCCCCCATCCTTTCCCCCCCCCTTCCCTCTGCTCCCTCCTCCCCGTCTCTCCCCTCCCCGATCTGCTACCTCAAGTGCCTAGCGCTGGCATGCGCGGCCTCAGGCCAAGCGACGGTCTAGGGCCTCGCCAGGCCATGAACTGGAGAGCCGTTCAAGGACTCAGAAGCGTAGAACGTGTCTACGAGGCCTTTCCCTTCTTCGCAGAGCTCTTAGGTACCAGCTTCTGGTGCCACCCCACCATCTCGTTGAAGCGATCGAAGGCGCTGTCGAGGTTCGTTGACATGGCAAGCAAAGTCGGATCGTCAGACACCTTGTCGACGATTGCCTTCTCGATCTTCTTGTAGGTGGCAGTCAGCTCCGAAA